TTAAGGATCCATTTACATCTCAAAGGTTTGCTACCCGGTAGGAGATCAACCAACTCCCAAGTATTATTGTGCATAATAGATTCAATTTCACTATTGATAGCTTCTTTCCAAAAAGGAGCATTCAAACTTGTCAAAGCCTCCTGAATGGTTCTCGGTTCGTTTTTTAACTTTAGTTAGAAATTCAGGACCAGAAGACTTAGGTACTTTTGTTCTCTTACTACGCCTTGGCTCATCATCAATTTCTTAAGGTAGCTTGGCCTCTTCAAATGTCCTTTTTCTCGAAATTGTATCTTTCTTCTCTTTACGAGGAAAAATATTCTCAAAGTACACCGCATTCTGAGACTCAGTAATTGATTCATTATGAATCTCTGAAATTTTTTATTTGTGCACCAATAATTATACAATCAATAGTCTTTGGTCCAATTTTTACTTGTTTCAGTTTAGGTATTTCAACCTTTGCCAAACACCCCAATATTTTAGTATTTGTAGGTAGGTTTATGACCTTTCCATAACTCATATGGAATTTTGTCGTTACCTTTGTTGGGTAATTTGTGTAAATATAATTTGCCGAAAGAACCGCTTCTCCCTACAAGTTTTGGGGTAAGCCCGACCTTATCAAAATCACATTCATCATCTCTTTTAGTGTTCGATTCTTCCTCTCGGCCACTCCATTTGATTGTGGTGAATACGGAGCCGTCGTTTGATGAATAATTCCAGAGTCTTTACAGAGCACTACAAACGAGGCTACATACTCGTCTCCTCTATCTTTCGAATCGCTTTGATCTTTTGACTAAGTTGATTCTCAACCTCATTTTTATACGTCTTAAAGGCCTCTAATGCCTCATCTCTACCCTTTAGCAGATTAACATAACAATACATTGTACAATAGTATATGAATGTAATGAAGTATTTCATCCCTGCTCGAGTTTGCACGAATTATAAATTACATATGTCAGTGTGAATTAACTCGAGTGGAGTAGTGCTTTTCATCACCGATTTAAATAGTGCTTTAGCCACTTTTGCTTCAACAGATGTTTCGCACTTGCTGTGTGAATCAATTTTCACTTTTGGTATTAATTCCAAATTCACCAACCTTTAAATTGTGTTAAAGTTCACATGTCCTAATCCATCATGCCATACATTAGAAAACTCCAACAAATAAGAAATACTTTCTTTATTCTTCGCCTTTTGGCAGATAACATTCATCACATTCATCTTAAAAAGACCCTCATCGAGATGCCATTTCGCTAAGAAGACACCATTCTTAGTCATTACAAATTTATCGGCCTCAAAGACTAATCTATTTCTGAGACCAGAAACAAGACGATCCAGAAATCGATTTCTGGGTCAGAAATGTGATTTTTGGGTCAGAAATTGATTCATGGGTCCAGAAATCATTCAATTTTCCAAGAAATTTATTTCTGCATTTTTGTTTTTGCAATATTCATTTATTAATTTGTTGAGATTCATTTTCTAGGAATGATTTATTTTTTTTTTCTTGTTAAAGAGAATGATTTTTTTATTTTTTTTTTGTTGAGATGAATGAATGAAGAGAGTGAATATGAAATTGGAAATGGAAGAGAGAAGAGAGAAGAGAGGGATGATTTTTTTTTAAAAAAAAAATGATAGTAAGGGTATATTTGTCTTTTTAAATGCCAAAATTGCTAAAAAAGAGGTTTTTTTTTTTAAAAAAAAGGTGCCAAAATTTGTGTTTTACAAATCTAAATGGCTAAAAAAATTCACTGTAGAAAAAATCTCCCCCAAACTAAGCAGCTAAACCCCGCGACCACAAAAACATTCAACCGAGCCACACCCACAACAAAAAATAACAACCAAGCAACCAAACTAGACAAATACTCTGCGGCTACTCAGCCGCCTAGATAAAGTTCCAAGCTAGATTTGGGCATCGAAGGACATCAAAGGCGGTAGAGGAAAGAGGAGCCGCTAAGAGAACACCGGAGAGCCTCAGGCAAGGATCCGTAGAGGTATCACCCGTGGCAGACCTCAATCGAGCGGCCTGGCGAACCGACTGCTTGCATAAAACAAGCTGCCATAGTTGGACGCAACAGACGAAGGGCCTCTAAGGTGAAGAGCAGGGTGCACACAATCAGACCTCCAACGGAACAGCAGACTCCAGCGGCTGGTGGTAGAAGTGGTGGCCAGCAGCCCCTCCGGAGCCGGGAGGGGGGGAGGAAAGAACGGAGGCGAAACTATCGCCGGCAAAATCGAATAAAAATGATGAGAACTTCAAGTCACAACCACTTAAATTATCTCCTTAGCCATGAATCAACTGGATTGCTTGCCAAGCTTATATGTATCAATACATTCACCCATACAAGTAAAAATAGAAGCCTCTATTTTTCTCTAATATGAACCCAGTGAATAGTCTGTAGATTCTAAATATGTTCTAAATAACTTCATGTAAACAAGCTGAATATAGGTGAACAATGTAGCAAGAGTCTGTAGCAAATATTTCATAGCACGATGTGGGAGTCTTTTCTGAGTTGAATGTTTTCGGGCTTCGCCTTCAAGTCTTAGTACACTATCCTCGGCACGTAAAGGTGTTCTAGTGCACAATGAACTTTCAGCTGCATGAAACAAGCAATTTTTTTTATTAGAATTGAGAATTACCTCGAGAAAATCTGGATGATGATAACGTAGACTCTTACTAAACTAGCCATGTTTGGAGGTGTTGGCAGATATATAGAAGCTTTCGACTGCAACGAAAGGATTAAAAAAACAAATGATCAATAGCAAACTTTTACTTCAAATTCTATATAACCTATTTGTACTCTAAAAACAAAGGGTTCATCAGATTCTATCCGTGCCTCTGTTGGACTTCCTACATAATCTTACAAATCACACATTCAACTTTGAGATTATATTTACACAAATTTTCAACTTCAGGCTGCAAATTTCCATCTCAAGTGCTACATGGTAGGTAACTTATTCTACAATTAGACACTCCTTTAGACTTCCCTTGTACGCTTAAAAGTGAAAAACTGATTTCAAGCAACAAAGAAGGATCAGTTTTTAACTCTAATATGAATTAATTCATCGATTTGTACACCATCTACAACCAATGAAGAACGTAACTCCCATGCTTCTTCCAACTACAGTTTATGACTTGTCATCTCGTGTCCTTCGAGAATATGAGGCAGTCGGCTGCCATGGGACACACTGAGACAGCTCTCTTCTTCACTATAGCTTGTTGTGCTGCTGCATTCCCCCACTTTTGCTACTGTTTGAGCTATGAGAAAATCTTTCCTTCTTCGTCGACTGTGATTACTTCCTCAGAAGCTTCTATCACAACACTCTTGGATCGGTTGAATACCACAAGTTCTCGAAAATTTATTTCATTACCATCAACTTTGGTGACAACAGCCCATTTCAGCACAATCTTCTTATTTTCAAGATTCAAACTTTTCATCTTCATCTGCTCACATCAAGTGCTTTGCTCGAAGGCTCGATCACCTTGCTCTGTTGCAGAAGCGTTGGAGTGTAGGTTTTGAGAAGTTGGCGGGGGATTGTAGTGAACCTACAAATAGTAGGAGTTGGTTGAAAGTTGAAACTGCCGTCATTTTGTGTATGCAGTGGATTGGGTTTGGGTGTATTAAACCAACTGAGGGTCTATTAAGATTTACGAAATAGGCTAAATAGGGGGTTTCAAACACGGCACAGGATTGTGTTGTGCTGCAACTAGGGCTAGGCTTTTTATGGAAATCCTCAAAAGCACCACCAATCTTGTGGCCAACGCCAAATACTAATTTAAAACATTCCTCTCAGCAAGTTCCTCGTCTTCTTCGTGTTGAGCCGCCATTTTTGACAAATGAAGAGAAGTAGTTGAGGATGTTTTTTGTTGAAAAAGGCAACAACCGGGCAGCTGTCTTTTGTAGAAAAATTTAGCACACAAAGATTGAAAAGGGGATACACTCCCCATCTATAAATTGATTGAAGTCTGATGAACAAAAATACACAACCAAATACAAGAAAGAAAAGAGAGAGCGAGAGAGCTAATAGAAATTTAGCTTTTGTGTGTATTTGAGTTGTGAGTTGTGAGTGAGTTTGCGAGTTTTTTGTAAACACGAGTGTTTTTTTTTCTCCCAATAGAATATCTGCAGTAGTCCGGAGACGTAGGCATTATTGGCCGAACTCGTCTATCAATTTGGCGTGTCTAATTTTTCTCTTTTATTTCACTTTTATAGATCCGAACTCATGAAAATTTCTATGTATTTTTCCCAGCAACTGGTATCAGAGCCAGATTGTTAATTCTGTATTTTTTTTTTTATGTGGGTTACTATTCCGTAACTAGTGAAAAACGGGAATAGTGCCAAATTTTTTGGGGCTACAAATTTATCTACCGACGTGTTCTCACAAATGGTAGTTCTCACAAAAATTGCAGAAATGATCCGGCAGAGAATTCAGATCAGAGACAAAGTGACTGCTGCAGACGAAGGAAAAATGAAAATTGAAAAGTTCGATGGTGCGGACTTTGGCTTTTGGAAAATACAGATCGACGATTATCTGTACCAAAATAATATGTATTAACCACTCACAGAAAAGAAGTCAGAGGACATGAAGGAGGAAGAATGTGGAGTCTCCTTGACAGACAGGCCCTTGGAGCCATTCGACTGACGTTATTCCGTAATGTTGCTTTTGACATTGCAAAAGAAAAGACGACAGCAGGACTCATGAAGGCTATTTCCAATATGTACGAGAAACCATCAGCCTCAAATAAAGTTCATTTGATGAGGCAATTGTTCAACCTTCGGATAACCGAAGGTGCTCCGGTGGCACATCATCTCAATGAGCTCAACACAGTTACAACCCAATTGAGTTCAGTTGGGATCGAGTTCGATGATGAAGTACGGGCTATAATACTTTTGTCTTCCCTACCAGAAAGTTGGAATGCTACAGTCACAGTTGTGAGTAGCTCATCGGGAAACAATAAGTTGAGATTTGATGATGTCCAAAATTTGGTTCTCAGTGAAGAGATCTAGCGGAGAGAGTCGGGTGAACCATCGACCTCTTCTGTATTGCATACAGAGCCGAGAGGAAGAAGTTCAACCAAAGAAAGCAGACACAACAAATCAAATGGAAGAAGATCCAAGTCTAGAAATCATCGTAGTTCCCAAAACTCGAAGTCAATCGAGTGCTGGAATTATGGGAAGACCGGACACTACAGAAACCAGTGCAAGAGTGCACCGAAGAATCAAGAGGTCAAAGAAGAGGCAAATATTACTTCGACCTCTGGAGGAGATTCGCTGATATGTTCTTTGGAGAACAGAGAAGAGTCTTGGGTGTTAGACTCTGAAGCATCCTTTCATGCTACCTCACAGAAGGAACTATTTGAAAATTATGTTCCTATAAATCTTGGTAAAGTTTAACATGGTAATGAGCAATCATGTGAGGTTGTAGGGAAAGGTGAAATAAAAATCAAGCTGAGCGGGTCAATATGGGAATTAAAAAATGTCAGACATATTCCCGACTTGATGAAGAATTTAATCTCCGTGGGCCAGCTAGCCAGTGAAGGATACACGACAATCTTCCATGGTGATGATTGAAAGATTTCAAATGGTGTGATGACAATTGCTCGAGGGAAAACGAGTGGTACTCTTTACAAGACCACATGAGAATGTCATTTGATTGCAGTTGCAGGAAATGAAAGTCCCAATCTATGGCACCAAAGACTTGGGCATATGAGTGAAAAAGGGATGAAGATCATACTCTTAAAAGAAAAATTACCAGGCCTTCAGTCAATAGAAATTGACATGTGTGAAGGTTGTATACTTGGAAAGCAGAAGAGAGTCGGCTTTCGGACAGGTAGACGAACCCCAAAGAAGGAGAAGCTTGAGCTCATCCACTCTGATGTTTGGGGTCAACGACTGTCCCATATGTTGGTGAGAAGCAATACTTCGTGACTTTTATCGATGATCAAACCAGAAAGGTATGGGTTTACTTTCTGAAACAAAAGTCATAAGTACTTGAAGCTTTCAAGATTTGGAATGCTATGGTGGAAAATGAGACAGGCTTGAAAATCAAGAAGCTCAGATCCGACAATGGTGGTGAATACGTAACCACCAGATTCAAGAAGTTTTGCTATGAGCACAAGATCAGAATGGAGAGAACCGTGCCTGGTATGCCTCAACACAATGGTGTAGCTGAGCATATGAATCGAATGTTGACTGAAAGAGCCAGAAGCTTGCGTGTGCATTCAGGCCTACCAAAGCAATTCTGGGCAGAAGCAGTCAACGTAACAACTTACTTGATCAACCGAAGTCCATCGGTACCATTGGATCACAAGTTACCAGAAGAGGTATGGAGCAGAAAAGAAGTAAAACTCTCACATCTTAGAGTTTTCGGGTGTGTAGCATATGTGCACATCAGTGATCAAGGTAAAAACAAACTTGATCCAAAATCAAAGAAATGTACTTTTCTTGGTTATGGTGAAGATGAGTTTGGCTACCGCTTATGGGATGATGAAAACAAAAAGATGATCCGCAGCAGAGATGTCATCTTTAATGAAAGAGTGATGTACAAGGACCGACATAACACAAGTGCCAACAACTCAAAAGCGAGTGGGCTAGTTTATGCAGAGGTGGAAGATATCCTTGACATTCCTATAATAAAGAATCCTCGATCAGAGGAATCAAATGAAGAAAGCGGTGAGCAATCAGAAACTTCTACTCCAACTCTTGTATTGAGAAGGACCTCTCGGCCCCATGTGCCTAATAGGAGATATATGGACTACATGTTGTTGACTGATGGAGGAGAACCTGAAGATTATAAAGAGGCTTGTCAAACCCTAGATGCTAGCAAGTGGGAGCTTGCCATGAAGGACGAGATAAAGTCCTTGATCTCAAATCAAACATAGGAACTAGTCAAGTTACCCATGGGGAAGAAAGCACTTCATAACAAATGGGTGTATCGGGTGAAGGAAGACCATGATGGTTCTAAGAGATACAAAGCCCGACTGGTTGTCAAAGGATTTCAGCAGAAAGAAGGAGTTGACTATACTGAAATCTTTGCTCCAGTTGTAAAGCTCAATACTATCAGGACTGCGTTAAGTATTGTGGCTAGTGAAGAGCTTTACATATAGCAATCAGACATAAAGACTGTATTTCTAGACGGAGACCTAGATGAGGAGATCTATATGCACCAGCCTGAAGGTTTTCCAGACAGAAAGAAGGATATGGTGTGCAGATTGAATAAGAGCTTGTATGGCCTGAAACAAACTCCAAGACAGTGGTATAGGAAGTTTGAGAGATCCATGCACAAGGAAGGATTCGAGAAGTGCAATGCTGATCACTGTTGTTTCTTCAAGAAATATGAGTCCAGATATATCGTATTGCTACTTTATGTCGATGACATGTTAGTAGCAGGATCAAATATGATAGACATCAGAAATCTAAAGATGCAGTTGTCAAAAGAATTTGACATAAAAGACTTAGGCCCAGCAAAGAAGATTCATGGAATGCAAATCACGAGAGATAAGCAAAAGGGAGTTTTGCAGTTATCTCATGCAGAGTACATCAACCGTGTTTTGCAGAGATTTAACATGGACAAGGCCAGACTAGTCAGTACACCTTTGGCCAACCATTTTCATTTATCCAAGGATTAGTCTCCTCAAACAAAAGAAGAAGAAGAGTTCATGGCTAAGATTCCTTATGCTTCAGCTATTGGAAGTTTGATGTACGCGATCGTCTGTACTAGGCATCTTAGCAGTCAAATGGATTTTGAGATATCTACGGGGCACAACGGAAAAATGTCTGTATTTTGAAAAAGGAGATCTAAAGTTACAGTGCTACGTAGATGCATACTTCGGAGGTGAAGTTGATCACCGAATAAGTACTACCAGTTATATTTTCACTGTCGGAGCTACAACTTTAAGTTGGATGTCGCAGATACAAAATATTGTTGCTCTATCCACTACAGAGGCTGAGTATGTAGCGGTGACAGAAGCCAATAAGAATTGATATGGCTGCAAGGATTGTCAGCAAAGTTGGGTTTCACTCAGGAAGAGAGTGTCTTGAACAGTGACAGTCAGAGTGCAATACATCTGGCAAAGAACTCAGTGTTTCACTCCAGAACTAGCACATTGACATTCGATATCATTGTTGGGTTCTGTTAGGAACTTCAAACAACATGCACAACATTGAACTTTATCGAAAAAAATCCTAACGCAGCGGAATCTATAGTTAGGATATGGACGTTTACCTTTTAATTTTTTTGCCGAATCTGAGACGATGTAGAGTACCGTTGGTGAAGTTCGTCTGAACACCACAACATAATGGGCAAATAGGTTTGGCCTTTAGTTGATTCTTATCAACTCGTCAAACGGATCACGAATGGACGGTGCGCTGGTCTTGGTCGTCGGGTGCAGCGGACGTGCGCGTCGGGCGCGGACAACGAACGTCTCGGTCGGGCACGTCGGGCGCTGGGCAGACACGCAGACGGACGCTGGGAACGCGGACGGGCGCTGGGACGGCTCACGCGTGCAGGGGCAGCACTCCTAGGCCTGGGCGGACTGAGCGCTGGCGTCTGGGGACACGCGGCTTTCTGGGCACGACAGTGTTGGAACCCACGAGGATCTCGATATGCACAAATCACAGACAAACATTCAACA